AAATATTGTTCACAAATCAGTCTAAATGTGTGATACTGAGCACCGGTGCTTTGCTGAGATAATCCAACCCACCTCACAGGTGTGCCACATCAAGATGCTGATCCGACATCATGAGTAGTGCACAGGTGTACCTTATACTGCCCACAATAAAAGGCCACCCTGGAATGTGCAGTTTTGTCTCACAGCAAAATGTCACAGATGCCACAAGCATTGAGGGAGTGTGCAATTTGGCATGTTGATAGCAGGAATGTCAACCAGATCTGTTGCTTGTGCATTGAATGTTCATTTCTCCACCATAAGCCGTCTCCAAAGGCGTTTCAGAGAAGATGGCAGTACATCCAACCGGCCTCACAACCGCAGACGACGTGTAACCACACCAGCCCAGGACCTCCACATCCAGCAGGTTCACCTCCAAGATCGTCTGAGACCAGCCACTCAGACAGCTGCTGAAACAATTGGTTGGCAACACCAAACTATTTCTGCACAGACTGTCAGAAACCGTTTCAGGCAAGCTCAACTGCATGCTCGTCGTCCTCATCGGGTCTTGACCTGACCCCAGCTCCATAACAGACTTGAATAAGCAAATGCTCACATTCAATGGCATCTTGCACATTGGAGAGGTGTTCTCTTCACGGATGAATCTCGATTTACATTGTTCAGGGCAGATGGCAGACAGCATGTGTGGCGTTGTGTGGGTGAGCACTTTGCTGATGTCAATGTTGTGGATCGAGTGGCCCATGGTGGTAGCGGGGTTATGGTATGGGCATGCATCTTTTATGGATGAAAAACACAGGTGCATTTTATTGATGACATTTTGAATGCACAGAGATACTGTGATGAGATCCTGAGGCCCATTGTTGTGCCGTACATCCATGAACATCACCTCATGTTTCAGCAAGATAATGCACGGCCCCATGTTGCAAGGATCTGTTCACAATTCTTGGAAGCTGAAAATGTCCCAGTTCTTGCATGGCCAGCATACTCACTGGGATGTGCTTGACCGGCGTATAGGACAGCGTGTACCAGTTCCCAATAATATCCAACAACTTCGCACAGCCATTGAAGAGGAGTGGACCAACATTCCACAGGCCACAATTGACAATCTGATAAACTCTATGCGAAGAAGATGTGTTGCACTGCATGAGGCAAATGGTGGTCACACCAGATACTGACCGGTTCTGGGTCCCCAGACCCCCAATAAAGCAAAAAACTGCACATTCCAGGGTGGCCTTTTATTGTGGGCAGTATAAGGTACACCTGTGCACTACTCATGATGTCAGATCAGCATCTTGATGTGGTACACCTGTGAGGTGGGATGGATTATGTCAGCAAAGCACGGGTGCTCACTATCACACATTTAGACTGATTTGTGAACAATGTTTGAGAGAAATGGTAATATTGTGTATCTGGAATGAATTTTAGATCTTTAAGGCCATCTCATGAAAAAAATGGTGTTGCATTTAAATTTTTGTTGAGTGTATATTCATTTCCTAATAAGCAGCCTTTTTTTAATTTGTCCACATGTTACAGTGAGAATAAGCATTTTTTTCATCTTTCTTGGAAAATTCATTGGGAATCATTCCTGGAAAAACTCAAAACAAACATTGGAATAAGAAGAAGACAAAGAAGAAGAAGAAGAAGAAGAAGAAATAACTTGATGCTACATCAACAAAGAGGCTAAGCTATGGACTACGTGAAATCCCTCAAGTATGGTTCTACAATATGGCTGGATGCAAGTGTCTGCTGAATTCTGCTTATCCCATCTGCTCAAGAGGAGGCTGAGGGGGATCGCGCAGCGGAAGAGATGACAGACGAAAGAAGAGACAACAACCAGAGACAGAATGAGAGACAGGCTCAAATACAGCTAGGGGGTAGAGGTGAATTGGGTTGGAAAGACAGGGGAGAACAATTTGAAATTAATCTGGACACTCCAGATGGTTTGAGGTTTGTGTATGAGCATGTGAGACCGCACACATATTTGTGCTTTTCTGGTACAGACAGCTTGTCCATGCGAGGTTGTGTATCAGTATTTAGGAGATTTTGTGAGTTTGTGCTCATTTAGACAAATGGGAACATCTGGGTTTTAACAATGAGCAGCTCACTTTGGAAGAAAACGATAAAAACATACAGTCCCGCTCATGCACGCTCATCAATGTAATATTTTATAACACATTTATCCCCCAACATGAGGGTGGGGTATTTGGACTACTTTTACACATGATGGAGTCTATTACAGCACCATTACTTATTGCCTTGATATAATATAATAGACTTAACTCTTATTATCCCTATTTTATTAGCATTTTGGTGACTGGGTTGCATTATACATGGTTATTTCTACAAATATCAGCAAAAATATGGATACCCCTATTTTTATAATGAGGCACAAGAAAAACAATAAAACACATTTTAATTAATTAAAGTAAAAGTAATACACATTTTTATTAGTAATACTTAGTTTTCCAGTCAAATATAATTTTAACTTGTTCAACAATTTCAGTTTGGTCCTTTTGCATTTCACAAAGCTACTTAAAGTTGAAAATTTTGCACTTTTGCTCAACAAAAGATTTTGATTAACTAATTGGCAGGTTTAAGTGGGATACTGGTATTAACAGCTGGCTTTTTCTCTTTCTCTGCTTCATTAAAGCTTGTATTCCTATTAAATATAATAATAATAATAATAATAATAATAATAATAATAATACATTTTATTTGTAAAGCACTTTCTATTTCAGCTATCTGCACCCCGACTCTGGAATGATCTCCCTTTATCCTTACACAGCATTGACAGTCTGGACACTTTTAAAAAACAGCTAAAGACCCTTTTATTTAAAGCTGCTTTTACCTAAATCTTTTATTTTCTTATTTTTAACTCACGTTTGTATTCTTTCATCTGTTTATGAAATTTTATAATTTTATGACTTTATTTTTTCTGATGTTAATCTATTTCTGCTTTGAGATCATTATGATTTCATGACTTTGTTTTATTTTGTTTTGATCTATGTGAAGCACTTTGTGAATCTATGTCTGTGATAAGTGCTATATAAATTAAATTTACTTACTATCTCAAAATGCTACAAAATAGCAAGGTTCATAAGTAGCTAAAATAACTAAAAAGAAGAGGATATAAAATGTACTTAGCAAAAGGTGTTTCTAAAAAGATGAGTGTTAACATTCTGTTTAAAGTTTGTGGGTCTCTCAGGTGGCTAGGTAGGGCATTCCACAGCTTTGGAGCAGCAGTTGAAAAGGCCTGATCACCCATGCTCTGGAGCTTGGTTCTGGGGGTTAGAAGTCTATTTGTCATTGCAAACCAGAGAATAAGATTTGTCAGTAGGGCGAGGAGTTCCTTTAAATTAAGGGTAGTGTGACCATGAATGCACTGAAAGGAGAACAGAGAAAGTTTGTAATTAGATTTTGAGGGAAAATGGGAGCTAATGAAAATCATTCAGATAGGGGGTGGTGTGATCATACTTGTGCACCCTCATCGGGATCCTAGCAGTGCTGTTCTGGATGCATTGCAGTCTCTGAATACTGTTTCCAGAGATCCCAGTGAGAATTGCTTTAAAGTTGTCTAGTCTGGAAGAGACACATATGTGGGCAATAGTAGTTTGGCAACATTCTGATGTGGGTTTCAAAGGTGAATTGTGAGTCCATTTTCACACCCAAACTGAGAGTTGTGGACAGTTATATGTTTTAGCCAGAGAAAGTGTTGCTGGCTATGTTGAAAGAGCAATGCTGATGTGGTGTGTCAATTAGTTTGATTTCTGTCTACAACTGAAGAAAGTTGAGCTTCATCCACACCTATATGTCCTCCAGACAAGACGTTATTGTAAATGTTAGCACGGGAGCAGAGAAAGTGCATGTTGTCTTGAGGTAGAGCTGAGTATCATCAGCATAACGGTGAAAATATGTCATGTTTGTTACTGATTTTGCTTAAGGGGAGCACATAAATGGAGAATAGAATGCAGCCAAGCACAGAACCCTGAGGGACACCACTGGATGTGTTTTTGCTAGGCCCAGGGCAACATGTTTGTGTCTTTTACTTTTGTTTTATTTCTTAACTATTACAATTATATCACCCATGTGTGTACCAGCAAGTTTCAGGCTGTTATTGAAAACTGGGTGGCAATAGCTCACTCTAGACTACCCCCCGACCACCACCACCTAGAACCGCCCCTGACATTGTACACAAATACATGCTGTTTTACACAGTTTAATTCAATTTAATGTTTAAATCATTGCAAGACAAGCAGCAATTAATAAAAGGGTTGGCTTTAAACTTAAAAATAAAAAATGAAAATATGTGATCCTTTATAAATCTTTGTATGGAGTGTATAAAAATACACAGCAGTGGATTTTATTAATTCTTGGTTTCATATTCCTTTTTTAATGTATTTTTTCTTCCTTACATGAATGTTTTTAATGAGCCAACATTTCCTTCTGTCCAACGCTATACCGCACGCTTGCTGGGGTGCATATTAGTGCATGTGCCGTGTGCAAAAATGACTTCCTGTTAAATATTTGCACATCAGATTGCACTAATAACATTGTCAGGAACGAATAGAGCTACAGTATCTGGATTTGTGACTGGTGTTCATATTCAAGACCTTTGCATAAAAATTCTATGGCATATGCTGCAGTGTCAAGCAAATGAAAGCTGGGAGGCATTGCTTGCATTTGAGAACAGCGGCTTGTTAGTCTGGGAACACTTGGATTAACACATGGCACATATTTAAGATCCACAGATTCCTTACAATGTGCACTCCATTTTAATATTTTTAAAAATTGCCGTGGAAAATTTAAATATAGATATATGATTAACTTGTGTTCACTCCTTATCTTCCTGTTGTGATCTCTCTGCAGGATTTAACAAAGATTAGAAAGCAAGGGGTCTAATCTGAATGTGAGGCAGGCATAAAAAGCCACGGGCTTATATTTAAACTGCATAATCGGATGCAGGATGAGAGTTTGCACTCAGTTTGTCTCATTTTCTCTTCCAGCTGAATCCTGTGGAGGTGTAGTCCAAGGCCTGAACGGCACCATAGAGTCTCCTGGTTTTCCCCACGGCTATCCCAACTACGCCAACTGTACGTGGCTGATAATAACAGGGGAGAGGAACCGAATCCAGCTAAACTTCGTTACACTGGCACTGGAGGAAGACTTTGATATTGTATCAGTTTACGATGGACAGCCGTCACCTGGCAACTTGAAAATGAGGTTTGAAACCCATCTTTAATCTGATCTTTTGTATCTGCTCTTCAGTTGTTGTATCTCTTTTCTCTGTTTTTCACTTCTAACCTCTGACTCACAGCTTGAGTTTCTGTAAATTTACTCTTCCTTCTGCTTTAAAGAAAAAAGTTGGCAGTCAGAGACAACATTATTTCTTTGAAAATGTGGCTTTGAATAATTTTCAAACCCATCAAAAAATACAGATTATAATTTGAGGGTATTTCTTTTCATGCTGAATAAATATTTTACTAAAGGTAGTCAGATATTTCTCAAGGTAACTCGTTTTAGAAGCAAAAGTCAAAGAAAATTTGAAATTTATTTATTGAGAATATTTTGCATTGAACCTTGAATCTCAGCAAGCAACAGAATATACTCTGGATTGCAAGACACATATTTTATAAGATGGTTGAAGATTAAAAGTTTTCTTATTTCAGCTCTAAATCAAAATTATTTGAAACATTATTTTCTTCTGCTGGATTTTCTGGCAAAACGGCTCAAAATGATTAACTTCTGATAATTGACGGGCTGAATTCCAATGATCATCTGTTAAAAAACAGCCTTGTGGATTCAGTAGCTTAGTTGAACACATTTTGTTAAGCCAAACTATAAAACGGAGGCAAATAACTTGGGAAGCACTGGATAGACTTAAAAAAACACAGCAACCAAAATCTCTAAAACTAAAACTGAATTAACAAGAGACAGAAAATTACCCACAAGTACTCATTTTTACGATGGTTGTTGGCTCAAATTTTATGATTGTAATCATTGTGGTCGCATACTGCAAAGCAGTGCCATCACCAGAGTGATGAAAACCCATTGTTTGATTTTAACACATTCAGCAGAGAAATTTACAAAACAATCTGAATCATGTCACACCCTCACGTCAGTTCTGGCTAATGGCTGATCAATGTTCCACAGAGTTTCCCGTGATTAACTTACAAGTTTTTCACACACACACACACACACACACACACACACACACACACACACACACACACACACACACACACACACACACACACACACACACACACACACACACACACACACACACACACACACACACACACACACACACACACACACACACACACACACACACACACACACACACACACACACACACACACGTGTGTTCATAGAAGGTGTAAAATGGGGTGTATAAGGGACCTTTACTCTTATAAATCAGTCTCTCTCTCTCTCTCTCTCTCTCTCTATCTATCTATCTATCTATCTATCTATCTATCTATCTATCTATCTATCTATCTATCTATCTATCTATCTATCATCTATTATCTATCTATCTATCTATCTATCTATCTATCTATCTATCTATCTATCTATCTATCTATCTATCTGTCTGTCTGTCTGTCTGTCTGTCTGTCTGTCTGTCTGTCTGTCTGTCTGTCTCTCTTTCTCTCTCTCTTTCTCTCTCTCTTTCTCTCTCTCTTTCTCTCTCTCTTTCTCTCTCTCTCTCTCTCTCTCTCTCTCTCTCTCTCTCTCTCTCTCTCTCTCTCTCTCTATTTAAGTTCACACAGCAGGATAGTCATGCCAGGTCTGCCCCTTTTAAAAATCTTAAAGTTGCAGACAATTGCTCTAACGATTTCAGCTTGAGCACCGCTGATAGCTCTCCTCCTGCTCAACCTGTTCCAGCACCATGGACAGCGCTTCTCCTGCTCACGTTATTCCAACTCCATAGCCTGGCCTGCCAGACTCGTCCTCTGTTTAATTCTGCACAGAGAAGGAGACTGGTAACTCACAGGCAGAGAGGCACTTGAGGGGCGGTACTAGACAGGAAATGACCAATCAGAATAAAGACGGTAATCCGGACTGTATCGCACGACACTGTAGTTTTCTAGTTGTAGTAAAAAAAATTGCATCTGGCAACAGTGCAAACATATGTGTGTGTGTGTGTGTATATATATATATATATATATATATATATATATATATATATATATATATATATATATATATACATATACATGTTGTGGTTTTAAAGACATGTTCACATCATTTAGGACAAAGGAAAGAGCCGCAGCAAACTCCACTTCAGTCACCATGTTTCTGACAAACTCTGCGTTATGGTGTGTGATGTACGAAACTCAATGCTGATTGGCTCGGTTAGAATTCTCAGGGGGTGGGGTTATTTGGATAGAAGAGTTCCCAGACTCTTTCTCTCTGCAGAATTAAACAGACGAGGAGTCTGGCAGGCCAGGCTACCAGCGCCATCGTTAATGCCTCTGCTTTACCCCTCTTCCCTCCCCCTGCAACTTGTACAGCTTATCCCAACTAGTGATCACCAGAAGAGTCTTCAACAAGCTCAGAGATCCAAACTAGTGAGGAACACAGTGGAGCTCTGATGTCTTCAGATCCTTTTGTTTGAGCCTGCGTAGTGCCAGTGGCCTTACATTAAAAGACTCCCCTTTAATTTGGAAGCCCCCGTTTTTATGACCTTGCAGAACTTTGCCAACAAAATGTCAAGTATGAATATGCTGGTGAAGGTTCTCAGTCATCCAGGGCATGGTAATCCAAAGGGGTTTGAATGAAAGCAACTGGACCTCTTCGGTTTCTTGAAGACTTTTTGCTTCTCATCCGAGGAGCTTTGTCATTTCTGACTGGAATATGGGAGACATGCATATAAACTACAGTATAGTTGTCTATTGCTGCTTAACATGCAGAAGCTACCTGTGAGTGCTTCTCATCCCTACCCCCTGCTGAGTTGTTGACCTCTATTGTGTGGTAGTCATTGTATTGATTAGGTGCAGGAGGGTGTGACCTAGACTGAAACTGGAATATTTGAGTATCTGCTACCGAGGCTTTGTTAGTGGTTAGGCCCTTAAGGGAAATGTTCTAGTTTTGTTTAGAAGCGTGTTTTCTTAACCTACGAAGGTCTAAACCCGTTATAGGGTTGCAAAGCAGTCATTTTGCCCTCCTTCACCTACCATTGCTGGGCTGTAACAATTACCGTTAACAGCTCTAAAAATAATCTTTTCAGATAATCCTTTCGTGTGTGGTGTGCTACGAGCATTTTAGTCTGCTCGATAAAATGTAGGAACTGCTCTGATTATAGAACCGGGCTTTCAAACATGTTGACTTGATCTGACTTTCGGGGGCAAACACATAACCTGTAGCCAGTCAGAATGCAAGGTGACAGACTTGTGCAGCACTCCCCTACTCTGGCAAGTTTTTGCAAAAATTCCAATCTGACTAGGGAATGTCCAGGAGTGAATGCATATCTTGTGTAGTTTTTGCCTAGTTGATGCATACCCCATAGTGTCTGACAAAACACTAAATGTGGTCTGTCATGGTTTTAAAAATCACCTGACAAATTAAAAATCCCGTCATGTCATCATGGCTGCAGCAGTTACACAGTACATAATAAAGTGGCTAGTACATAAACAGGTGCTCTCTTATTCATAATCAGATACATTTGTGAATTTTTTACTCTAAGACAGCTATTATTGAGATGCATTGTCGTTTCCATACATTCTTTTGGTTCTAAGCCAAAAAAAATGTTCTTTATCACATTTTGTGTTATGTCTAACTTTTTTCATCTTAATAGCAAATTATGTTAAATGTTTCTGCTGCAAAACTTTAAGTCTAACAAGAAAAGTTCAGCATTAGACTAAAGAGGATTACTGCGAAACAAGAGACGGCTTATGAGTCGGTGTGCTGGCTGTTTGATAATTGCATAAGTTCAACAGGTGAGAAGTTGCTAGTTACAGAAAAGCCCAGTGGAGATGAAACAAAAACACAGAGGAAATCCTAGTAAGGAACGTAGAAAGGTACCTGCCGCATTAAAGCACAAAAAGAGGTGAAGCAGAAACGTCGCCCAATGTGATCCATGCAATATAGGAGCTATGCATGTCAAATGAGCCTAACTCTGGTGCTGTTAGGGATAGTGAGAAGGTGCTTTAGGTAAACAATGGCAAGCTGACAAAATGAGAAATGAGATGTATTAATGGCTAAAAGTGAGTGAAAGTTTGCATGAATGTGGAAAACAATTAGCAATAATGTCTTTGACTTTGTGATGCTTTTGAGATGTCTAAATGCGTCTTGTGGTTTAAATCGATGTCTTATTATGTAACAGCCAAAATGTTACCTTTGTATTCAGCTTGTTCAATGTTCAGAAGTTATCCTGGCTCTGATAATTAATCTGCTGCACGCTGCATGCTAATGCAGTGAGGATTTACATTTAAGCCTTTTGTAAAACGTTCATTCTGTCAGAGTTAGTGCGAAACAAATGCTCACATTTAAGATTTTTTTCAGCTTAATAATTATTGATGAAGTCCGCTGATTTTTTTGAGCCCAAAAATAAGTATTTTATTAGAAATCATAAGCAGCCAAGACTTAAAGACAGCAACCAGGCTGGAAGTCAGAAACACACAAGGAAAGTGAAAAGGCAGTGATTTAATCTTATAATTCACCTTCTTTAAAAGCGGAAATCTTTACTTTACTAATGGCTAAATCTATTTTAGTGTCCACTTTGAATTTGGAAACACAACCAGCATAAACATTTAATTTAGGAATGTTTCATGTGTTCATTGCCCTAAGCACCCCCCTCCCCCGATGACCAACTAAAATGCACATACATACAAGAACAGCTGATTTTCCAGAACTAAAAACTGTGATATTGTTTGAAAAGCACAAAGAGAGAATGTCGCATATGGAGTTGGCAAAATAAGAAGAGCTTATTCGTCTGCCTGTGTGTTGGAGGGAATGCACCCATTAGTGTTTAGGGCTGGTGGGACAGTTGGGCTATTCCTTAAAAACATTTGCAGCTACATTACGTGTCAGTGTTTGGAGTAGAGAGCTTCTGTTAGGTTTTTAAAAAGGGTGTCTGAGAAAAGAGCAGCAAGTCTGTGTCAAAGCTTGTTGGTGGTTCTTTATGAGAAAAAAAAAACACAACGTGGGAGGATTGTTTCTCTTTTTTTCTCATTTTCTGAGAGATAGTCCAAGCAAGTGAACAATTATTTTGAAAAGGT